AGCTCTCAGAGAGACTGTTTACTTTAGCCGCATTCATCTTGAAACTTGCTAATTAGCACATTATTAGGAAAGGCGATTTGCAAAGATTCATTACAAAACATTATATTCACTTCTTCTGTAGATGAGACTGGATCATGAATGATTTGCGTGAACACAGACGCATATATGTAGATCGGGGGCGCATTCCCTTCAGAGACAATGTAATCCACTGCGAGTTCAGCAGCTCAGATGTCGGGAGTAAATGATGACTGCTATGTTCATTATTACATACAACAACAGAAGACCTCAGTGCTGAAACGCTACTGTCAATCAAACTGTTGTGGGAGGGGCCTGTTTTTGTGACATCACACAGACAGGCATCTGAGATTGGCTCGATTTGAGAAAGGGGAAAACATTTAACCAGATAAAAAAAAAAACACTGGGGGGATTTTTATCATTATAGGGTGGTTGTGTACACACACTGCCAACACACATTTCAGTTCAAACAACTTGTAAAAGTGCATGTAGCATCCTATGACCCCTTTAAAACAAAGGTAAAAATCTCTAGTAAACTCACATACTGTATCTCAACAACGTCTCAAACTGTGCTCAGGATAGTCAAGTCTGTAATTAAAAATTAAAGCATTTCAACAAACACATACAGCAGGATAGTAAGGATGCAGGTTTATGTACACTGAGATGCAAAAGATTAAATCTCAGTTTTTCTGGTATGCTGACACCAAAGCCACCCTGATCCTCCACAAATACACAAACTCTGATATGTCCCTATCTTAACAAGCACGCAACACTCAGAGAGAAGAACAGCCAGAACTGACCGTGGACCTGCCAGGGTAAGCATTCCAAAAATATTTTTAAAGCTTTTTGACTCTCAGTGCTGTTTACACTCAGGTTTCCATCCATCTTGTGCTTTCACAAATATTAATACTTTAAGGATTTGACTTTTCATAAAAATTTTTAAAAGCAACATTATAAAGACATATAAAACCCAAACTTTGAAATCTATCATGAGTTCATTTTTGTAATTATTACAAATTATACAATTATTAGAATTAGCTTTTTTATATTGTAAACATCTTTATATAACCTCAAAATAAAGGGTAATTTAGTTGTGGATGTGATGCAGTATGAAGCATGCAAATACCCAGGAGTTTAGGAACTAAATCTGCACTGCATGAAAGTATTTATTAATATGTGCATCATTAATATGAAAAATTATACAAGCTTAATGGATAGAACATGAAATCCAGCTGGACAAAATCCCATAATGACCTAAACAGAGCCAGAAATGTTCAAACACGGAATCAAACTATACTGTATACATCACACAATCCAAAACTATGGAAATATACAAAACTTCACAAGAGCTATAATATTTTGCCTTGAGCAACCCCAGATGTTCTGTGCTGAGGTCTTATATAGACTACGGCTACTTACACCGATTCATATTATCTGTGTGACACAGCACTGGTTTAATCTCAGAAGCTTGAAAACACAAAACTAATCATGAGTCTGTGCTTGGTATGTGTTCAGGCCTGTCTCTTTCTAAATAAAATGCACTCTAAAGATGCAAATTACAACATCAGTGGAAAAAAGCAAGAAATTTTTTCTAAAGATAAGGCCAATGGCACTAACGTTTAAAAAAAATGACACATATTAATGTGAAGGCTTTGAATCACTCCCCATAGTGGAGCGTCTGTCAGTGTGGCTAAACCCTGACAGACTGATAGAGGCCAGAATCAGTTTTCCTGATGACCATTTCTCATGCAGGACCTCTGAGAGACACTCCAGTCTTCATGAATGCAGTTAGACACAAAATAGTGGAGGTTCAGAGCAAGTTATCTTTTTGAACTGGAAGGAAGTTTTGACCTTTGAAAGTTACAATATGTTTTCATAGTACATCAAACTCATTTCAAAATATTAAGGACAATTTAATTTCTCATGATACGACACCTTAATTAAAGGGTTCCTCCTAATAAACTTAAGAAAACAAAAATACTAAACTAA